TCATCTCCAACTGCACTCGTTGCCATCCCGCCTGGACCGCAGTCTCGACATTGTCCAACCGTCCCGGCGAGACTCGAACCAGGCACGCGCCAGTCGAGGGGCGACCGCGTTGACTCTGACCTCCACTCCGCCAACCGACAAGCGCGGCTCTTGGCACCAGGCAGGCCATGACTTCCTGTTTTGCCATTCAACTCGATATACTACTCATTTGGCGGCAGTAGTAACAGTTGCCTTTTGCAGTCTCACAAATATTTGCTCACACCCGACAGAGTGTTGACAAGGAGCCGTTTGGCCCGACATTTGTGGCATCTGTCGCGACTATTGAAGAAGCGCTGAATTCGAGGCGTTTGACAAGAAAGCGGAAATGAACCAATGTCTGGTGTAAGCTTCTTGTAGGCATGCCAAGTCATGTGGGGCATTGCCTGACGCCACAATCTCTTCGCTTCATTTTTTCGGCAATCGACTGTGTCATCGGCTGTCTCTTCTGGCATGGACGGCAGTCACGACTGTAACTTGGTTACAGAACAAATGCCAGATTTATCGAAAGCCATGCTTCTCTCAGCTCGCATTCATGTTGGGACTTGTCGAGTAAACTGACATGTATTTTCCATTGCTTAGTTTGGACGAAAGTAATTATTTCCCGAATAATGACTACTCACTTTGAAAATAAGTAACCTCACCGATGGTACTGGTGGATGCATGTTTTCTTGATCGACACTCCTTCTGTAACATGTCATTTGGCAGAGGCCTGACTCGCTATACATTTTGCATCTGACCTGTGACTCCTCGGTACCCGTCGACGTGTAGTGCAGTTTTCTAGCGTCGTTACGACGCTCACGACTCGGGATCACACCCTGCCGAGGGAGGTGGGGGAGGGGGGTTGATGAGAATTGCTTTTGGCAATGGGATTGCGGCAGCATGCACCATCAATCGTTTGGTACTTTGTAAGCAATCTAGGCTGACTAAGCTGTTAATCTGTGTGGATACTAAGAGTAATTGACGTTGGGCACATTGTCGGTGG